GAGAAGTCAATCTCAGGATCACTTTCTTAGTGCTTGACCCTCTGCCAAAGATGGATGCTTCCTCCCTCTCCACACTCCTCATTGCTTTCCTATTCCTCCCCACAGGCTCCAAAGGCCACTAGCTCTCATTATCTATTTGTGCTGCCTGGGCTCCTCACTGAGGGTAGGGCTCAAGGAAACACTCAGAATGTTTTCTAATGACAGCCTGTTGGTATTACTAACAATATGGCCATCTGTCTCATAGCTGTACAGATGCCAAGTGCTGTGTTTATGTCATCAAATGGCGTCATCAGATTGACTGATTGATTTTTTGGTAGGCCTTCTCTTCTTTCCTTCTGTTCCTTCCTTCCTTCCTTCCTTTTTTCCTTCCTTCCTTCATTCCTTTCTTTTTTCCTTCTTTCCTTTCTTCCTTCCTCTCAGGCTCTACCACTTAAGCCAGGTCTGGTATTTTACTCCAATCTGGTATTTTACTGGTTAATTGGAGATGGAATCTCAGACTTTTCTGCTTGGGCTCGCTTCAAACTGGGAATCTCCAGGTCCCAGCCTCTGAATAGCTAGGACATAAGCATGAACGACTGGCACCCAGCTTTTTTGGTGATTTTAATGCTTTTTGGGGGTTTTGTTACAGACTAAACCCTAGCACCTAGGCAAATATTCTCCTACTTGAGTCACACACAAGTCACACACTTGAGTCAAGCCCTTTTGGGTTTTTGTTTTGTTTTGTTTTTGAAATAGGGACTCAAGTTACCTTTGCCTGTACTGATTTTGAACTTGAGATCATCCTGCCTCCACTTCCTGAGTAGCTGGGATTATAAGTGTGTACCCCAGCATTTTATCATCAAATGTAATTGTCACCATAACATTTTGGGATGGAAATAATTCTTTTACATGAGGAAACTTTGAGAGGTTATATAACTTGTCCTATGCCATGTGACTCACAATAGGGACTCTGTGACTGCAACCTGAGTGCATCCTGCTGTTACTTAATTTGTGTGCAGAATATAAGAGAAGCATAAATCTTTCAGATTTCTAGTCAAGTAGAGAAATGGGCCTTTGCTTATTCAGTTCATTCACCTACAAAAAATGAAAGCTTGGCTTTTATGGATTTTTTTTTCTGCTCTACATCTTTAACCTAAAGAGCTTATTTCACAAAATTTGCACCTGGTGTTTAGCTAACTAGCAGTTACCAGGTTGTATAAATATTCACATGATAAATGAGCATGTGAATAATCAGTGAGACCAGTCAGTCTCATTGGGTCGGGAATTGTTGCTGTTGTTGTTCTTGTTGTTTTGTAGTACTACAGTTTGAACTCAAGGCCTCTTACACTTGCTAGACAGTAATTCGACCACCTGAACCACTTCACAAGCCTTTTCTGTGTCAGTTATTTTTGAGATAGGATCTCACTTTTGTGTCTAGATTGTCCTGGATTTCAATTCTCCTATTTGTTTTTCTCTGGGTAGCTGAGTTTACAAGCACCATGCCCAACCATTGGTTGGGTTAGTGTTTTATGAGCTTTTAATCTGAGCTAGCCTGAACCTAGCTAAGATTACTGATTTAAGCCACTATACCTGGCTAAATTGTTATTCTGTTGTTCAAGGAAAATCCCTTATCTCCTTTGAGAAAAAGGTACTAACACATCTTAAAGAATGTAAATGCTTTTGATGTAAGGGAAAAGTGACCAAGTGAGAAAATGAAAAACAACTGAGCTAATCTGTGATGCTTTAGAGCCAGTGTTATTTTCTAGGTAACCATGAGCATCACACCAGCTCATCACCTTTGTGCCCTAGTTCTAATCATTCAGTGTCATGGAGGACAAAAAGAAAAACAAGTCTGGATCAACCTTTCCATATATATATATATATTTTTTACATATACATATCATATATATCATATCCATATCCATATATCATATCTCAGTCTATAGTCTTGCATACATTTATTTTAAGAATTATCCATTTCTGCACAATTTTATTTGGTACACATTAGTCAGATTTTGTAGCTTAGATGAACCATTTCAGTTTTTTCTATTTTTTCACAAATTAATTGCAGTCATTTGGAAGCATACTGTTCTTGTGTGCTGTTCTTGTTTGATTATTGATGTTGATTCTTTCTGTTTGTTATCCTCTGGTAGATCAGAAGTGAGGCTTTTTTTTTTTTTTTTAGAAAACAGTGAATTTTAGCCCCTATTAAAACAATCATTACAATTATTTAGTAAGTTCTGACCTAGATTTAAATAATGACTGCCTAGAGCCTGCTCAGAGATAATATTTTTCTGCCTAAAAGTTTGCTCTATTTTATGCAGTTACAAGGGAGTCCTGTTGACAAGACCTATCTAATATTCTATTAAATAGAGTTGTCCTATGCCATTCGAAACTGTAGCAATTAACATGCTGATGGTGCAGCCAGTAAGTAAATTCACAATCTGGTTGATAGATAAATTCTGAACAAAATAAAAAGGCTGGGGCAAGTTCTTTTATATAGGTCATTTTATGGAGCTTATCAAAATATTCACTAACTTGACAAAAATAAAATAACTAGGCCTGAAACTGTGAGCTTATCATCACTTTTATCAGCCCTGAGAACAATTGAAATTTCTTGGAATTGTGGTATGACTATCTTTTGGAAAAACATGTAATGGCTATTTTTAGGTATAATTTACAAACCCAATGGTTTTCAGAATATTTAGAGTGTTTTTCAACCATTGTCTTGAGTCTTTTCTCTCTGTGTGTGTGTACATGATCGATATGCCAGTTCCAGGGCTTGAATTCAGGGCCAGCCTCCTGCTCTTGCTTGGCTTTTACACTTAAGGCTGGTACTCTATAACTTGAGCTGCACCTCCACTTCTGGGCTTTACGATTGTTAGTTGGAGATAAGAGTCTCATGGACTTTCCTGGCCTGGCTGATTTTGAACCAGAGTCCTTAGATCTCAGCCTCTTGAGTAGCTAGACTTATAGGCATGAGTCACCAGTGCCTGGTCATCATCACTTTCAGATCATTTTCATCAGCCCCCAAAGAAATCCTATGCCAACCTTCCTTCCTTCCTTTTTCTTCCAAGTCCCCTAACCCTAGACAACACAAATCAACTTTCTGTCTCTATGAATTTCTCTACTCTGGACATTCAAGTATATGGAATCAGATTGCACCATCTTTTGAGATGGGTTCAATCACTATTATGTTTCAAAGGTTCACCCGCAGTGAAACCATCCTTCTTTATGGTTAAACAATGTTTCATTATATGCCTGAACCAACCACATTTGTATACCTGTTTGTTAACTGGTAAATATTGGGCTGTTTCTATTATGAAGAATCTGTGTTTTTTGTATGAAAACACATTTTCATTTTTCCTAGATTCCATAGATATAGAATAATTGGATCATCTGACAACTCCATGTTTATCCTTTTGAGGAACTGCCACTGTGTTTTCCAATGGGACATGTCTTTTAATTTCTGCCAACAGTGATATGGGGCTGTCCAAGCTCTCTACCTCCTCCCCAGCACCTATTTATTACCGTTGCTATTGTAACTATCCTTGTGAGTGGAAGTGCTGTCTCTTTGTGCTACCCATTTGATCCTTCCAATGGCTAAGGATGTTGAGTACTTTTGTTGGAAGAAACAGCTACTGGGATCCTTGGTTCACTTTTTTTTTTTTTTTTAGTGTTTTGATTATTCAATTGCAAGAGTTCATCCTGTAATCTACATACACATTCCTTGTCAGATAAATGATTTGCAAATGTTATCTTCCATTCTGTGGAGGTACTTTTACATTCTCTTGGTTACACTTGTGTGTTTCGTAACCTACTTATTGTTCAGGGTGTTCTTACAGATTCTCCCAATCTGGGCACGTTTCTTCTCTTCTTTCCATACCCTCTTTTGCACTGATTACAGTGTATTAGTATTAGCAGATCCAGGTTTGTTGGCCCCAGGGAGCTACATCCGGCCAAGCATTTTATCTCCGAGCCTGAGACCCAGAATAATGCAGAATGAGAGTAAAATAATTTTTCAACAAAATGAAAATGAACCTTGAGTGTGGGGGGAAAAATCCAGATCGATAATGTTCTAAAAGAATTAATAGGAAGGGCTTTAATAGACTGTCAAAGAATCTAAGGAACACACAATTCTTGGTAGGAAAATAAGTCTCCATGATTTTTCTAGACATTGAAATTGTTTAAACACAATTCTTCTCAGAACTCCTCCATTCTTAAAATCCCAGCAGAAGCAAATAAAAAACACTTTAAAAGAAATCCCATGGACTTTTTTGTGTATCCCTTTGCTGAAATTTGAGATTCGTACACTTGGCCATATTGATTTCCAATTTGGCGCTAACACAGCTTCAACACAATCACATAGAGAAAAGTAGTTGATAGCCTAAGATGACTGATTTATTCTTTGTTCGCGCTGCAAGATGTGCTAAAAATTACTTCATCTCAATAGACTTCCTGGAATTCCTGAATGAGAAATACCCGCACCCTTGATTATTTTTTTCTTTATGAAACAAAAATAGCTCTTCATTTTTCAAAGAGTTTGGCAGTCATGCTGATTAGAGTACTGTATTAGACTAACACTTATTTTGAATGACTAAAAACCAGATGCTGTTCATGATAGTTCAAAGCTTATGCTAATGTGTCCACTCTGGTGTTCAACACACTTCAGTTAAGAGTACTAAGAGGATCCTTCAATCCAGAGGTAGGGAATCCAGTAGGAAATGCTTCCTTGTCTCTGCCCAGCACCCTCTAGAAACAGCATTTCCTGTAACATAACCTTAGCCAAGGAGAGATCAATGTTCTCTTAGCCAGCATATAGGCCAGCCCAAAATGTTGAACACAGAAGAGGAGTGGAAAGTATTTGTTTAGTCAGATGGACAGCTGGACACACAGCGCTCTCATGAAGGTCAAACACAAGAGTGAAATATGTATTGGGGTTCATTGCTTGTGTCTCGGACATACCACACATCTGCATGATGGTCATGAACTCATCACTTGTGTTCTCATTTTTTCCTTAGAAATTCGAGCTCAACTGGTAGAACAGCAAAAATGCCTTGAACAACAGACGGAGATGAGAGTTCAGCTCCTCCAGGACCTGCAAGATTTCTTCCGGAAAAAAGCCGAAATTGAGACTGAATATTCTCGAAACCTGGAGAAGTTGGCAGAGAGATTCATGGCCAAAACCAGAAGCACTAAGGATCACCAGCAGTACAAGTAAGAGAAATGTCATTTAACCTCACCTGTCCAAAGTGATAGCCAGCATTTTTACTAATTCTGAGAAGCTCCTGGGTGGGAACTTTATGGGGTATATCCCCATAAAGAAACATACTTCTCTTCCAAACTTACAGTATACGGGCATCAATTTATCATATTTTAAACTAATGATATTCTCTTGAGATTTTTCTGTTTTCAGTACAAGAATGTTTCTATAGAAGTTCATCTATGAAGTATTTACTCTGTTAAATCCTTGATTTATTCTTTGTAATACTTGCACCTATTAGCAGAATAGAAACATTGTGTTATAATTAGCAATTAGATTCAGAAAATTTCCTGACCATCTCCTTCACTCAGCATTTGACCACCCTGCCATTAATGAGCTGGGTCACACAGATCTGAACATCTGCACAGTCCTATATCAAAGTCAGATAATAGGAAGAAACTTTATTCTATCTCCACTGAATAAGATCCAGCACCCCCATTGAGGGAAATTGCCTTGACACTGGAAAAGATGAGATAAACAAGTTTTCTATTATGATGTTCTTGTCTTTGGACATTCATCCCAAATCTTTAAACAAAAGCAAGTCAGTAGCTAGTAGCTAGTGAATCTCATTTTCCAAAACACACATGTTTCATTATAATAGTCATTTACAGAAATTTTGGCATGCCACATTTTGCTTTGTGCTTTTTGCTAAATCAGTAAATGACTAATCTTACTTCTAATGTATTAAAATTGTCAAAGGATTCTTTCAGGATTCTACATGCTGATAACGGTGGGAATCAGAACAATGTGTACGAAGTCAAGGCCAAGTGAACAGGCCTTATGCTGTGAAGAACATAATTAGGTAGAATCGAGGGCTGCTGAGTTATGAATGGCTTATTTGAATATAGAAAGATGCTATTTTTAGGCACAGTATTCCTCTAAACCTTGAAGCAATGTTTTTTACAAATGAGAAATTTATGGACTCAATAAAAATGACCACATGTCACATTTGCTAAACTAGCACTCTACCACTGAAGCCATGCCTCCAGCCCTGCTTTTTGCTGATTGACTTGGAACCTTTATCTTCCTGAGTAGCTAGAATTATGGATGTAAGCCATTGGCTCCAGGTCTTAAGCTTTAATATTAATTTTACTTCATTTCTTTAAGGATTACATACAGATTACTCTGTTAATGAAATTTTGTTTTAAAATTCAACTCCTGCAAATGAGAGAGAAGTAGGCAGTCAATCCATTCGTGTACACAAATGTTCTATCAGGGATGAGCACAGGATGCCAGCCAGGGTCAGACATGGCTGAAGACCATTCTACAGTACTGATGGGGAAGGAAATGAAAGAAATGATACCTAGGCAGAGACCTGAGAGATTATTAGGCAGGGAAAAGAGCTGAAGAAAATGCTCTGGGCTAGGAAAGCTTCATGGGTCAGGAGAGAAGAACAAAAGGGATATAGAGTCAGACCTGCAGAACAGGAAGTAGTCTGTGGCTAAGCAGTGAGGCTGAGAGCTGTGGGGCTCCTGGTGTGAATTAGAGCAGATCATGGGTACTGTAACCCATCTTCCTGGGGAAGTTCTACCATTGCCCTGCAGACAGGACGTTTTATACAGAAGGATAACCTGCTTGCACGTGATTTTAAGATGGTGACAAAGACCAGAGGTAGCGTTGTGTACAGCTAAAGGAAGGGGGACAGGAAGGGGCTCTCACCATGATAGTGACCTACCCCGTCTGGAGCCAGAGTGGACAAACCTATCTGGGAGATACTTTAAAAGCAGCACAGACTTTTCATTTCTGGAAATATAGGAGACAAAAGATTGTGAAAAACAGCTGGGTACCTAGCTCCTAGAAGTGTTGGTTCAAATATAATAGACATCGCTGTCAATATGCAATTAGACTCAGGAAAGTCAGGGTAATTTCCAAGGACCAACAAAGGAAGAGGGAAGTGAAGCCCTACATGGCAGCATTACCCACACTGTGGACCCCACCTACATGGGCCCAGAAGGAGAAGTCAATGCAAAGTAAAGATGGGAATAGAGGGCTTCCCCACCACCCAGCCTTCTGTGTCTCCAGGAGAGTCCTACCCCTGTGAGTTGGTAAAATAGAAAATCATCTGGCAGATACTGAGAGCACTGACCTTTCTCCGCCACTCACTTCCCCTCCCATGACCTTGGAGCATACATGAAAAATAGGGAGCTTTTCAAAAGCAAATGCTTTTGAATGCTATTCTGGAGAAAAAAGAATTCATTTTTCTCTTTTCTTCCCTTTCTTCTTCTTCTTTGGATGACTTTAACCCCTATTTTGAGACCAGTGTAGACATAAATCTCAATGAGATTCTTCCAGTATGACCAAATGTAAAAGGTACTTTCTGAGGCTGAGGAAAGCAAGAAGATCCAGGAGCAAGTATTCCATTCACACTTATGCACATTCTGCTGTGTGTGTGTGTGTGTGTGTGTGTGTGTGTGTGTGTGTGTGTGTCTATGCATGTGCACGCACGTGTCCATATGTGTAACAGTATTGGGGTTGAATTCAGGGCCTTGTGCTCTTGCTTGGCTTTTTCACTCAAGGCTAGTGCTCTACTAGTTGAGCCAGACCTCTATTTCTGGCTTTTTGGTGGTTAATTGGAGATAAAAGTCTCATGGACTTTATTGCTTGGGCTGGCTTCAGACCATGATCCTCAGATCTCAGCCTCTGCTATAGTAACTCACTTTTGAAAAGCAATTGCAAATGAGAAGACAGTCCATTCACTTGGCAGTGTCTGAGTCTGCCTTAGTACTTGGCTGTGAACTACAAGAAGGAATGGACCATGGTCTTAGATTTGACCTCTTAGTCATCAGGTGCCATTTTTGCGTTTGTTTCTCCAGATTTGTGTAATGATTTTCTTCAAAAGATAAGGAGCTTGAAACGGTCTTGGACTAGGGTAAGCATGTTTTCAAGTGCAGGAATAATAATAAGTATATGAGAAGGATAAACCATACTTGGGAAAATCTCTAGGACTGGCTTTATTTAATAGCCAACCAGCCCTCATTTTGAATAATGGCTCTAATGTGTAGCTCTGGGCAGGTTACAGATCTTCCTGAGCTTTGGCTCCTTCATGTTAAATAAGGTCTTATGACTAAATGACAAGACTAATGTGACAGAATCCTTGATGTGACCCACAGCTTGCTTGGAACAGGCACACAGTATTCCTTCTTCCTTTGCCAGACTCATGTTGTCTCTTTAGCACAGTAATGGTCCCAGGCAATGAGGGTGGCCTCCATGCTCTGCTCTTCTTCAGTTTGCAATGCTTATTCTGCCCAAGAGTCCTTGGCCTAAAGTTGCCACTGTGTGATAGAATTAGCAAGCCTTGAGCCTGGCACTGATGCCTCGTGACTGTAATTCTAGCTTCCCAGGAGGCTGAGATTAAGCTGGAGCAAAAGAAAAAATTTAAAAAGGGAGTAAGCCTTGAATCAGCCTCCTTAGACACAAGAACCCACTGTGACTAGTTTCTGTTTTTTACCTTGTTGTCTTAGCCACTGACAGAAAGGACACTGAGGGCCTCTGCTACAAGTAGTTGTATTAAGGGTTAAGTAGAATTAATGTCAAGTCTTTAGAGCAGTCCCTGGTCAAAAATAGCCAGTGTTACCTAGCACTTACTGAGCATTGCCCGACACATTATTATAAGCGTTGAAAATGTATATATGAACTCAAAGCATTCCTTATAATAATCTTATATGATGCATACTATTATTTTACTCATTGTACAGAGTATCCAGGGTATTGAGAGCTTAGAATCACTTTTCTAAGACCACATTTCTAGTAAGTGGTAGATCAGCGTGCACCATCTTGACCAGAGGACTACTTCTCACGCAGCAAGCACTGGCTGTTCTTTTTCCTTTGTTGTTAGAATTTATTATGATTACTGCTACTCCTAGTAACAAAGCAGTAATGTATATGTTCATTCAGTCAATGAAATCACATTTATTTAATGCTTATAATGGAACAGGCACTGGGGATACAAAGAAGTGTGAAATATTCTCAGGGAATTTATGAACTACTTCATGATAAAAAGATACACATAAATGTGGCTATAAAGAAGCTGGCCTCAGGGTTGCTTACCTGAGGGGTTAGTAGATAGAGAATGTCAATAGAAAGGCTCCGGTTACCAGCCATAAAACCACTGCTTCTTAATTATGATTTTAAGAAACAGAAGGGTCATATGTACCTAGCTGTTGAGCTATTGTGGTCCTCTGCTAAGAGTATCATAGACATAGTCTAGTTAAGACAAATAGGGGAAAACATAGAGCTTATGTTTCTTTGGGTCTGGCTTGGTTTGCTTAATATAATTTTTTCCAAGTCTTTCCATTTCCTTAGGAATGGGGCAGTGTCATTCTTTCTGATGGAAGCATAGAATTCCATTGTATAAATAAACCACATTTTCTTCATCCATTTATCTATCTGGGTTGGTTCTATATCTTAGCTATGATAAAGCTGCAATGAACATCAAAATGAACTCCAAGAAATGGAAACAATAGGTTTTTATAATGTACCATTCACAGTTATTTCTTTTTTTTTCCTTTAGTTTATGCCCTGTTGTCACTGTTTTTTATTTCTGTACCCTTTGTCTTATATGTAAGTTGATAGGCTTTGTGGAAGGGAAGGGGAATCACAGAAATGGTAGGACAACGATACTCACAAGACACTATGTTGGAAATGAACTTTACAACTTTGCAGAGAAGGTCTGGGGGGTGTAGGAAGTGGGAGAAAATGAGGGAGGGGGAGACACTGTTGAAAAAGAAATGTACTCATTACCTTACTTACATAACTGTAAACCTTCTGTAGGTCACCTTTACAATAGGTAAAGGAGGCAGTCTGTGCTGTGGGAAGAGTGGAGGGCTGCTCTTGAGGGTCCAAGGCAGGCTCTCACCATGTGGTCCAGATTAAGCTTACACTTCTGATTGCAGTCTAACTGACCATCTAGTCTACTGTGAAATATTAAATCTAGACTCTGAGAAGTTTAATGACAGAAAACCCTGACTTAATAATTTTTTCTCAATATTCAGGGTCATAAATGGTCATGAATGACAGAATAACACATGTAATAAACATGGTGCTTATGTCCCTTCGTTAGAAAGCTCCCGACAATTTTTGCCATTTTTCTGTTCCTTTTTAACGTAAAAGAAAAAAAAAATAGTGCACTTGATTTTTTTAAACAGTGACATTTTAATTGTTCACTGTTTTAGAATTTTTCTACAAGATTTTTTTTTATTTAAACTGTCTTGTTCTGGGGCTCATAGTCATGTTGAAGGTTAATAGCTAGAATCAAAGCAGGAACAGTTCGAAATCTGAAAATAGTCTAATAGGTTTGAACAGGGCATGTGACAGGTCAGAGCCAGTAAAGTTCTTTGGTTCTGGTCATGAGTCTCACATTTTGGAAGCTGGAGGTTCTATGATAGGGGATTCATAAATAAACCTTGAATTTGTGATCTATGCAAAGCAGAAGTAGCCAGATTTCTTTCCCAGGGGCAGGCTGAGCATTCATAGCAGACTTTGTGCTGTGATAAACCACAGTCTGCCTACAGGACAGTCGTCTATAGATTCTTCTGTAAACATCAATTGCTTCCGCCATTGTGTGTGTGGGAGTTGTGAAGCTGAGGGCTGCCTAGTGCTGTATATGGTAGAGTCCTGAGTTCCTTGTTAGGAATGAGAGTTTTCACAGATGGTCTTGGTCTGAGTTTTCCTTGCAAGCTTGGCAAGATTCTGGCTCTATGCTACAAACAGGCGGGAAGGCCAAACTGTGGGCTGTCAAAAGACCTAGTCTACATAAGACATGCTTGGAGAGAAAGAGAAAACACCCATCCCACAGGTGCTTTGAGTGGTGTGGCTCCGTTGGTTGGGACAGCTTTGACATTGCCGGTAACCCTGTCCTTCTTCACCTCTCAGGAAGGACCAGAACCTGCTGTCTCCTGTGAACTGCTGGTATCTGTTGCTGAACCAAGTGAGGAGAGAAAGCAAAGACCATGCGACACTGAGTGACATCTATCTGAACAACGTCATTATGCGCTTTATGCAGATAAGTGAGGATTCCACCAGGATGTTTAAAAAGGTACCCTCTGAAATCCTGCCATCCTTCTGGAGGGATCACTTCCTCGTCACTGTTTGGCCTGTAACCAGTGTCTAAATATAAGGGGGAAAATCTAAGGGAGCCAATATTTTAAAGACCACAGAATAAAAAGTTAAACCAACCAAGGGCTAATGGCTCTCACCTGTAATCCTAGCTATTCAGAAGGTTAAGATCTGGGAGCAGACAAAGCCAAGAGAATCTTATCTCTAAGTAACCAAAATTAGCAAAAAGCTGAAAGTGGAGGTGTAGCAAACCACCAGCTTTGAAAGAAAAAGCCAAGAAAGTGAGAGTGCCCCACTACTGGCACACACACGCACAAGTTTTAAACATGAGTAAATGAGCATATATATATGTGTATATATATATATGTGTGTGTGTGTGTGTGTGTGTGTGTGTATATATATATATATATATATATACATATTGCACATATATATTGCAGATACAGCATGAAGATAGCATATATGTGCTACATATACTTCTCTCTGGTCAGTCAGGTGCTGCACTTGGGGCTTGAGCAATGTGTATCTGCAGATTGCATACCTATCCTTAGCAATGGATGGTCACAGGAAAAGTCAGAGAAGAGAAGAGCCTGAGATTCTAACCTTTGGGCTCACAGCTGGGCAGACTTGTGAAGGACAAGGCTGCCCACGTGGGCTGCTCAGAGGAACATGTTACCACAAGTTTTTCTCTCTCCAGCCAGAGCAGCAAGATGTGAACAATATTCCACAGAGCCCAGAAAATCCAGTGCAGACACACCACACACCACAGAGCTTCCTCTTTCCCAGGCCTAATACACACACACACACACACACACACACACACACGCAAGCACTGGGCTTTAAAGGCTTTTTGTCATCATTCCAGCCTCACCAACTCTTAGCAATTTTTTGTTGTTGTTTGGACATCTTTTTGCTGAGAACAATAACAAAATCAGACCATTTCCTGTGCAGAGAAGGCAGCTCCTTGCCCTGTAAGACTGGCCTTCCTCCCAATTCTTAGGCCCATGAGATATAATAACTTTGTTTTCTGTTGATAATTTTTAGCACTTCCATTTATACCTGTTCCCTTCCTTTGAAAGAAAAAGCCAAGTAAGTAGTTATTAGTTTCAAAGAGGAGAGGGTAGAGAGCCACTGTGCAGATTAATGATATATTTATGTTTCAAAGAGTCCCCGTAAAACAAAGACACAGTGTTAAGCAGGCCAGCTGGAAAACTTCGCAGCCATAGTTTCGTGTATCCACATTAGATATGATTTCTGACCTGAAGAAAGAATTTAGCCAATGCTTAAGTCATCTTGTACTCCCTAAAGCGACCAAAACCAAAAAAAAAAATAGTGCTTCAAACAAATAAGAATTTTTTTATAGGAACTAAGGAGTATATTAATGAAGAAGAGAATCAGCAGAGAAATATTGTAGCTAGAAGAACTTTACAAAGAATTTAAGCTGTGAAAGCAAACCAATTTTCTTGTTTGGGTAAGGCAGCGTCAGTGAGCATCTCCTGAGAGCAGGGAGGTGATGAGGTTGTCAGAAAGGTTAGACATGAAGAAGAACTGGCTCTGTGTTCAAGGTTGCATATCATTGAGGTTTGGATGGTGCTAAAAGATACATCTCAGCCATGGGGGTCTTAGCCACTGTTCAGCCACGGCCTGGAGGGGACCAGCACCTCAAGAGAGTTCATGTTTTTATCCATTTCCTAAAACATCTGGACTGGCAAAGCAGAGTTTAAAGACATGTCTCTGCCTGCAAGGAGCTCATTATAATAATTAAGGATCACCAGATTCAAGAGATACTAAGGCTGCTGTGGGAGCCTGGAGGCTGGCACCTTACTATTACCAGGGGAGCCCGCACTGGAAGTGAGTTTTTTTGTGGGGGGAGCAGGAGGCTTTCAGGCAACAGTGAATGACAGGAGCTCCTCTGGGAAACTCAAAAGCTGTGTACAAGGAAAAGGAAAGTTCGACGTCACCAGACTAGGGTTGTGATAGGATCTGAGGTTAGAAAAGATAGATTGTTCAGTCTAATCATTGCTCTCATGAAAGGATTTCTGTTTGTTTGGTTCCTTGGTTAGGTTTTATTTTTTGGCAGTACTGGGGTTTGAACTCCAGTCCTGAAACCTGCTAGACAAACACTCTTTCACATGAGCCACTCCCCTAGACGCCCCCCCTCCCCCCGGCCCTTTTTCCTTTGGCTACTTTTTAGACAGGGTTTTGTGCTTTTTTCTTGGGCCAGCCTCAGCCAGAAATCCTCCTATCTGTATCTACCAGGAAGCTAGAATTGCAGGTATGCACTAGTATTCCTACCTTGTTCTTTTGAGATAAGGTCTCACTAAGTGTATTTGTCCCAGGCTGGCCACACATCAAGGTCCTTCCTATCCCTACCTTACAAGTAACTGGGGATTACAGGCACAAGCCATTGCATCAGCCCAGGATTTTTTATTTTGTTAAAGTCCACTGAGGACTGGACTCTCAGTCCACTGAGAGTTAAACAGGTTTGTACTTGAATCCCTGCTCTTCTGTTTCTTTGTTTTGTGACCTTGGGAGATAGTTCTAGAGGTACAAGAGAATGTTCTCTATCCTACTGGGGAGGAAAGGAGCTAAGATTAGAAAAATGAAGAGAGAAAAAATAAAATCGAAAAATGAAGAGAGGAAGCAGGACGAATGCAGTCATAATAATATTCAATGCATAGCCCATGAAATTAAGAAAACGGAGGGAGGGGTGGGGTTAGAAGGGATGGGGAGAAGGAGGAAAAGGTGAGATCCATCTAGAAGCATTGTGCTTATAAATTGATTTGTTGAATGGTAGCTTCTTTTTGTAACTGCTTATATTAAATATATAATAATCAAATAATGAAAATATAATAATGATCAAAAGATTAGATGGAGAAAAAAACTTAACCTGTGGGATCTAGGGAGCCTGGGAGAGCCTTTGTTGTGTTTAAGCATCCACACAGGAGGCCTGGCCTTTCTTGTGGAGTCTTGGGGTTTGGACTGCTCTTGACAAAGGAGATAAGTAATCATGAGAGAGGAAACTCCTGGGGTGGGGTTGAGCCACCCTGACTTCAGCACTCAGCAGCCAGCATCCCAGGGAGTTACAAGAATGAGTTCCTGGCTGTTTGAGAGGATCTGGGAATATATAACACATAGAGATAGGCAGGCAGACAGACAGACAGACAGACAGACAGGCCTGCTTGTTTGCTAGCTAGTGTTCTGTTCTTCAGATTTTCTGAGACTGAAAGTATGTCCAGTGTACTCCTGATTACTTTGGTATTAGTGGGGAATAATCTGTGCCTCCTGGAAAGCCTTTTCTTTCTTCAGGCACAGTTAATACAATCTCTGCCTAAACAAAATACCTGGACATGATGCTTCAATCCTGTAATCCCTGCTATCCATGAGGCATAAGTAAAAGGATTGCAGAACTTGGCCAACAAAGGCAAAATCCAAAGACTGTATCTAAAAAATAATCTAAAGCAAAAAGAGCTAGACAGTGCTTTCCTAGCAAGCCCAGTGAACTGAGTTCTCATTCTAGTATTCCCAATTTTAAAAAACAAAGGAAAAGATAATTGTAGGAAAACCTAATTCCAGTAGTAGAAAACAACCTCCTCTTCCTCCTCCACCTCCACCTCCTCCTCCTCCTCCTCCTCCTCCTCC